TATAGTGTGTGTGTGTATATATATACACACACACAATTTATTAAATTATTTATTTTTATTTATTTATTTAAAAATGCATTTATTTGTGGTGCCACACAGTCAGTTTCACACTTTTTCTGGGATAATCATTTTGTTAAGAGAACAGAGAAAGTCGGTACTATTTGGGAGGATTTGTCTGTCATGTTTCTCTCTGTGGTTGTTCTTGCAGCTCCAGAGCACCGGCCGGTTATTGGAGGAGCAGCTTCCTGAAATGATGACAGAGCTGCTGGCGGCCGTGCGGGATAAGATGCTGTGTCCGTCTGAGTCTCAGCTGACGCGCTCGCTCCTGATGGAGGTCATCGAGCTCCACGCTCACCACTGGAGCCCGCTGGAGGCGCTGACCACCGCCTACTACAACAGAACCATCCAGAAGCTCACCGCGTGACGCACACGCACCGCTGGAGGCCCTGACCACTGCGAACCACAACACAACCATCCAGAAACGCATTAAGAGACACGCAAACCAACCACAGAGGCCACGGACACACTACAACACACACAAGCTTTCTGTAATAGGAGGATAGAATCGGGCGTGGATGCATGAGACATGAGGCATTATGGGATATGGGGCTGGGTCAGAGGTCAGAGGGTAAAATATGCAGATTGAAATGAATATGTACATGTTCACACTTCACATCTGCATATTCATGAGGTGAGCCAGACGTGACAGTCATTAGACGCACACATGCAGACGCCAGTCACTGTCTCACGCTTTCCAGACTAAACCTCAACAGAAAGACACAGAAGAAAATAAATACAAATGTAAAAAATCAAAAGAAAACAATTTATTTTGCATAAAAATGAAGCCTATTTTTAATCCTTTTTTTCATTTGTCATTATTTTCACAACTATGCACATTCCAATCCCACCCCTTAAAAAAAATGTATCACGATGCAAAAATACAATTGAATTAATAAATCATATTTTGCATAATGATAATAATTTTAAGAAATAATTTTTAGATTTTTAATTTTTTTTGCATTGTATCGTTATTTTCATCACAGTCAAGCACATTTCCACCCCAAAGTCATGATGCATAAATACTTTTATTACTACAATTACAATTTCATTAATACATTATTATTTTGCATTAACAATGATCATTTTCAGAATGAGATTCATTTAATTTTGTATTTTTACTTCTTCCTGACAATTAAGCACATCCTCCTTCCCCAAAATTGATCATGATGCATAAATACTTTACATTTTAATTAATAAATGAATACATTTTTTTTTGCATTCGAGTAATTATGATAACGAAATTATTTTTGAGAACGAAATTATTTTATTAAATGTTTTAAATTTAACTCAAATTTGTATTTTCACAACTATTTAATAAGCACCAAAAAAACGCCCTCATAAATGTTACAATGTTATTAATACATAATTTATTTTTGCATTAATTTTATATATATATATATATATTATTGTTTTGTGTTTTTGAGAATTTGGGTTACAAATATTCATGAGAATTGACACAGTGCAGCAATTCTTATTGTTCCTGAAAATATTAAGCAAAAAATCAAATTCTTAAAGATGAGTTTTTTTCTGTTTTTAATTATTTCATTTTTTTTGCATTATTTTCATCATAGTTAAGCACTTTCCTAAATCTTTTTTTTTCTTGAGATTTTTTTATGCATCATTTTAATATATTTTATTTAACCATTTTGGGGGGTAATTGTAGGTATGTGCTTAATATTCATGGAAATAATGCCAATGTGCACAAAGTCTTAATGCTCCTCAAAATAGGCTTCATTTTCTTTAAGCAAAATCAAAATTCCCTGTTCTATTTTTTTCTTTTGATTTTGTTGTCAGATATTCTCTGGTGGAATTGTGAGCCCCAGAGACTGGACGAGCTCTTGCGTCTTTTCTTTGGCCCAGGGGCTGCTCTTCATCCATCCGTCCCGTTCACCCCCCAGGCGTCAGGAGCCGTCGGCCGACAGGGGCGTCCAGCTGGAGTCACACTGACTCTACAGGAGCGAGCCTTTCTTTTGTCACACAAACACACACACACTCACAGCAGATGGGGAGACACACTTTAGTGTGTGTGTGAGAGGACACTCAACATTTAACATGAAGTGGTCAGGTTCTTCATGAACATCAGTCGGATCGCTTGAGTTTCCTGTTCTCGTTCCGTCTCGGGCCGCGTCCCTGTTTATAATGTGTTATAGTGTCCTTAATATTATGCATTATTGTTATTATTATTATTACTTTCTTTTTCTCTCGAAGTCACGTTTTTTACAAACAACGTATAAATGTCCATGTAATAGGCTTCGTTTGTGAAATGCAAGCGGAACACGAATCATTCGTAACGTTGCATTGTTGAATGATTCACCTACTCGTTTTTCACGAATGAGGTTTGTATGTTTTTAGTCGTAGATCTGTTGCACAGGATTACTTTCGTTTTGCACTGTTTTAAGGCGATTGCTTTAAAAAATTAAAAAGAAAAAGAAAAAGAAGATAAACGTGTATGTAAAAAGTGATGCCGGTTGTGGAGGATTTCGAATGTTAGTCGAACACTTCTTGCTAGAATGATTCGTAGAATCAGGTTTTTTGGGAGAAAATAGTGGCCTTCGAAAACCCCTGCGAGTTGAATCTCTAGCTGATAGAAAGGCCTGTGCAGCGAAGACCATTTTCTTTTTATCGCCCTGCGACGTTCAGCTTCCTAAATAGACAATGTGAGATGTCGAAAAACATAAAAAAATCGAGCATGAATCGAAATGAAATTAAACAACAATGGCTGTTGAGTATATAGGCCGTTTTGCCGTGGTCGTTTTTTGCAAGTCGTTCTATTTAAAACTATTTACTTTGAACTAAATTTGTTTGCCGAGGATGGTGGTCGAATCTTTTAACGGTATATCTAGCTATTACGTGTCGATTTCTCTGGCTTTGACGACTGTGTGCATTGATATTGATTTAACACAGTCATCTAGTTATAAATAAGCTACAGTACATGTAATCTTGTAAACGGCTTATGAATATGAATTTTAGACCATGAGGAGGAACATAGGAAGTGTTTTTGAACTTTTTTTGAATGGTCGGTGGCCTCCAGCTTAATTTAGGGGAGGAAACACACGCAGAACCTCGTGGTTTGCCGGCCGGTTTGGGGTTTGTGTATTTTCTGTCTTGCATCAAGAATCCACATGAAAAGACAAACGCACACATGAGGGTTGAATCTGGTTCATATTTCACCCTAAATCTTAAAGGAAAATCTATTTGAATATTTTGCATGAACTAGATTGAAGTTTTCTTCATGCAAAATATGATTTTGCAATTTTTTTCTTTAGATTTTTTTGGTCAGATTTATCCTCATAGAGTGATTTTATACATGCATACTAAATAGCTGATGCTCGGTGTGTGTGTTTGTCATTCAAACATGATTTCAGTTGTTTTTGTATTTTAGAGTTTCCTTTGATTTGCTCTCAGCATCATCAGGGTTTGTTTTAGGCTCCGCCCCATTCAAGCAGCAGGCATCATGTGACCTTTGACTTCTTCAGTGTTGCGACCCACCAGACTATTGAATGCTGATCATCTTCATTTGCATCTTATTGACATGCAAAGCAGATGTGGCAACCTTGTCAGCTGACCAAACTGTTGATCTGGGCTCATTCAAAGATGTCAGCGATTGTTTTGTTTTTATGCAACTGAAAATAAACTGAGAAGGGGTGTAACATGAAGTGTTTGTCCTTTTCTTTGATGATTATTGCTCAGAGTGATGTTTGCTGTCCATTTTTCTTCCTTTCATGCAGAGTGAAGAACTTCAAGTGTTATGTTATTATGATTTATATATGGTTAGTATTTAGTATATATGGTTAGTATGGTTAGAGACTGTATTTGCTTTTTTTTCGGTTTTCATTTTAATTTAAATTTTTCTCATTTTATGTGCTTTTTTTTTTTTTTTTTTTTT